AGCTCTGGATCACTTACGTTCCCTGGGCAGGATCTGGTGCCTGGCTTCTCTTCCTCTTCCTCCCAGCAAACTGCCTGCAAACTGCTTACCTTATTTGCAGCCCTTGTTCGCTGGCTCTTTGGTTGCTGGCTCTTCCGCTTCTCCTGGTAGTGACATTCTGGTAACTTCTTTTCCTACATATTCCTCCACACTCCTTTGAACATACCCATACATGCCACTTTTCCTCTCTTGTATGTTTTAGATGCTTCACTGATCCTCTGATGCAAGTATTCCTCACTTTATCCATCTTTATCACTCCACACATCCATCAGAGCATTCTCATCTCTGTCACGTTCAGTCTCCTTTCTTGAGTTTTTTTCAGGGGCCATGTCTCTGCTCTGTACAATAGTGCACACATATCTTGTAGACTTTCTTCTTCAGCTTCACTGATACTTGCCTGTTAGATGATATTCCTGTTGCCAATTTCCATTTTGTCCACCCTGCTGTTATTTGATGGTTTAACTCTGTCTAACTCTACATTCTGCTGAATGGTTGACCCCAGATGCTTTAACTTGTCAACTTCTTTAACATGTTTCTCATTATCACATTTGCAACCTCAGGTACCTCAGATAAATCAGAGTGCATATATTCTGTTTTGGATTAACTAATCTTTATTCCTCTTCCCTCCTACACTTCTTTCCATTGGTCCAAGCCAACTTGCACTTCCTCTAGACTCTTAGCACAAATGACCACATCATCCACAAACATCATGGGCATTTATAAGCATGCGCTGGGAGATCGGGGGAAGTGCTATACTTAGAACGGCTCTGAAAGCGGCATGCGTATCTGTGTCCCCATGCTGAAAAATGCCAGCAGGGGTGTTTTAACTAAACCTGCCACCATTTTTTAGTAGGGGGATGCTGATATACATGATGCTGGAGTCTGTTGGAGGGCAGTAATTACCATGCTCCAGCAGATTTGATTTATCATGTCGGAGCAGATTAATCAAGTCTGCTCTGACATGCTGTAATTACAAGATATATTGCAAAGCCTGCTATCTTTTCCCCTATGGATTGAGTTCTCCAAATTCGTATCCCCCCAGGGATCCCCTCTCATAGCCATCTCTACTTTGCCCACCATACCTATTGAGTTCCTGCCTCCGCGCCAACAATGACTACTTCACTGTCTGGCACCTGTTGCATCACATCATCCACCTTTTCTCAGAAATTCTTCTTCTCTGCTGGACTCCCTACTTGTGGGGAATACATGCTCATCAATTGACCTCCATTGTCCACTTTCATTATCATGACCCTGTCATTCTTCCTTTCAACTTCCAAAACCTTGTCTTTTAATTCTTTGCACAGGATGATCCTGGTTCTGTTTCTTTTTCTGTCTCCACTGCTATAGAAGAGTTTAAATCCTCCTGCAATCTCTCTCACTTTGATTCCTTTCCACTTTGTTTCCTGGACACATGCAATGCATACATTCCTCTGTTCCAAGAAGTCTGCCAATACCCCACTTCTCCGTGTCATACTCCCCACGTTGAGTGTTGCAACTCTCAAATCCTTTCTTTGGGCTAGCTGCTTTGGCTGCACCTGCCATTGCCCATTTCCCACAGAATCCAGGCACTGATGCTGCACGTCACCTATGGGGTATGCCCCAGCTACATTTGTTCGTTGGATCTGCATCATGATGATCTGGCAGAGGTTATTACAGCTGGATGCTCTTCCTTTATCTGGGCTTGGGACTGGCATTGGATTGGTAGAATTGCTCATCTATGGCAGAGTTGATGTCTACATTTTGGCTGATGCATTTTTTTCTTCAGGTACCAATTTTGAGACAGTCTAAACTCAAAAATGCATCTTGGTCAAGCTGTGCACCATTCTCCATAGAAAATCTTTTTAGGTCTGTAGGTGTATTCAGTCATTTAAAGTAGGGTTGATTGCTTTTTTTTTTTCCTTTGCAGATATTTTGCCCAAATCTGAGGATGATGATTTGAAAGTCACAGCAGAAGTTTCATTTCACCTGGATGCAATATCTGTAGGTAGATTTTTTTTTTAAAGGAGAGTTTTAATGTAGAAAATGATACTTTTTTCTGAAGCTTTTGTTCTTATTCATATTCTACTCTGTAACACCATTTTATTTTAGTGTACTTAATTACTGCAGCATGGTTTGAGAAGAGAAATATACTTGGGGAATAGTTTGTATACCTTTAAGGTTAGCTTCTGGGGTGGGGGGTGTAGTGTGTGTGTGTGTGTAATAGGGCTGTGTGAACCTTCAGTCACTGATTTGATTTGGAGGAAATTCGGCCTGATTCAGAGGCCAAATCTCCGAATCATATCAGGAGACCCATTAATCTCTCCAAATTGAATCAGAAGCCTCTGATTCAATTCAGAGCGACTGGATGATTTGGATGTAGACACAGCTTTATATGTTTTTTTCTTTATACCTCAAGGTACTAGTTGGCTCCTGAACACTGAGATGGTGGGGTGGATGGAGCATCCCATGGGAGCGCAGGGGTGTCCCATTGTGTTCGATGGTGGACCCAGAAGTGGACCAGAAGCACTTTCAGTCTACATCCAAATCTGCCATGGAGCGCACAGGGACTCCACCCCCCAGCTCAGTGACCGGTGCCTCCTGGGTCTGAGGGAGCACCTGGTGTCCCCCCATGACCAATTGCCAGGCCTGGGGATGTGTGGGGGTCCCCTGCATGCTCAGCAGCGGACCTGGAAGTAGACCAGAAGTACTACTGGTCCACTTCCAGGTCTGGCAGCGAGCATGCAGGGGGCCCTCCCGTGCTCCTGCAGGATGCTCCATCTGCCCCCTCGTCTCAGCATTCTCAAGCCGTGCCTGGTACTCCAAGGTATATAAGAAAAAACATTTAAAGCTGTGTCTGTGGCTGAATTGCTGATCTCTGAATCAGAATCAAACCTTCAGATTCACATTTGGCTGAATCGAATTGGGACAGTTATCCAAATCGGCAAATTGAATCACTGTCCTCTGATTTGGGCCCAATCCGAATGTGTAAGTTTGTTGGTCCCTCACTGTGCTGAATGGGTATGCCCAGTTTATTAATTTGTCCAGAAATCATGATTGACCACAGGTACTTTGGTAAAGTAACAGAAAAACAAAAGGGTTTATTACAAGAAAAAACACATGGTATAAAAAAGTGATGAAATGTTTTGATAACAGAGGATGTTAAAAAAAAGCTGACAGATTCTTTACCCTATATTCAGACTACCATGTAGCCCTTATAAAAATTCTTGTGAAAATCTTTTGGGGTCAGTCTCTGCTCAGTCAAAGCTAGCTTTGTCAACCAGGGACCTGCATTCCCCTCTCTAATCACCCCCTAACAGTCCCTGCCCCGCAACACACGTGCACACACACAC